CTGAAAAATTTTTGTTATATTATAAGTTTCTTTCCTTTTGTATTGTTGACAATGTAACTCTTTTCTGAAAAATTTTTGGTCATTTTTAATAACATAATCATAATTTTCATAAATTATATTCTGGGTTTATTTGCGTTAATTGTTGCATCTATTTTTTTAAATTTTGTGGGTATAGATATATTGTTAATACAATCAAATGTCTTTATTAAATTAAGATTAGAACTTCCAACACAGGTGTTTTGGTCCCCTTCAGTGTTGTTGACTTTATGTTTGCTTATTAATCTTATTCGAATGAAAGGTCTTTAAAAAATGAAGCCTACTCAAGCAGTATATATTCAACAATATTTTACATCTAAGTACACTTAACAATATTTGACTATTTCTCTAAATCATAAATGAGGAGATTATTCTAACAGTTATTTCAATAAGTGCATTTGGTGTTCAGATATCGGAATACAATTTTAGTTGGGTAAATTTAGTATCCATGAAAAGTCGTGTAATTCTGAAGTAACTTGATCAGGTTCTGTTATATAAACATCAGCATATTTTAGTCCAATGAACGATCTCGAAATAAGACGTGTATCTACGATCTTAAATGACACTATTCCGCAGTGAACTTCTTCGATAACTGTAAAAAATGTTGACTTAGATATCTTCAAACATGATGAATAGATTATAAGTCATATTTTTATCCCTCATAACCGTACAGAAGGTGAAATGAATTATTCCATTTTTCAAAAATTGATGACGTTGACATCTTAAATGTGATAAATCATACAGAACATTTTGTTCTATTATTATATTATATCTAGGTTTTCTCATTTAAATGGCTCATACTGTATATTCATTAAATTAATTTTTAATAATTGAAAATCAATCGAGTCATTTTTTTTAGAAATTCAAACATTTTGCTGCTCAAGCAGGATCATAAATTTCTACACAGATATTTTTAATAATATTTTCAAATATCAATTAAGATTCAATACCCTGTTGAGTTTATTACTAGAACTATCAAACTGAGCAATCTAATCTATGGAGTGAACTTCTATTTAAAATTACTCAATTATTATCAATGCTTTTACTATAATTTTTGTTAAAAATTATCAAAATAGAGAAATAATTGTATCGATAAATAAATTTACTTCTTTCTCATCTAATTTCAAAGATCTATTAACTAAAAACTATTAACCTACATAAACTACCACCACGATGGACTTATTGATAAAAATAGGCATGGCAAACCAGTATATTACGTTCGGGAATTCTGTGTCTCGATAAGAATTCCAGGAATACACTATGTGTCACGAAATGAAAATCGCATATGGGTCATTGCAAGTCTCGCGCGACTCAATATAAGGAATCAATGATTAACAACAACAAAAGAATAAAATATTCTACAATAACCTGTATATTTTATCCGTTTAAAAATAAAATATCCTTATAACAAACATTTTTATTCTAACTTTATTTTTAACAAAATTCATGATGAACATCATTTTGGACATTATACTAATTAAGGTACAATACTACGTTGTGCAAACTTTTATTCACATGTCATTTTCTAGAGAACTTGGTTAAAATGTTGATTAAATAATCAAATAATGCACTGCTGTTTCTTATGGTCTCCAAGAAAACATTTACTATGAGTAAATATTATTATTTACTATTAAACAGTAAACTTTCAACAAGGATTGGTTCATAAATCGTAGATGCATATAAATTGGTAAAAAATTTCTCGTAACAAATTTGTTAACGAATTTTGCTCGTCAAACTAAAAAAAGGAACTTTAAAGGCGAGGTTAGTTTTTTTTTCTTTTCTTTTTAAGGATACCTCAACAACTTTTTCTGCGTTCTGAAATTTATACCAACAAAAGTTTATAATCGTCTCGTTTCGCATAGATGAAAAACCAACCGTGGAAAAACAGAAAAATTACTGCCGGAACTGGCAGTTTCGCCAAATACACAAATTAAAAAATCTGTACACGCTGTAAGCTTTTGCAAGCTCAATATTTACGTTGTTATTATTATTATTATTATTATTAATTCCATAATGTATTTTAAAAGCAATTATAAAATATTATATTATATTATATTATATTATAGAAGAATAGAATATAAAACATTATGTTATATTATAGGAGAAAAGAATATTGACAATTATATTATGTTACAGAACACGTTGCAAGAAATTTGAATAATCTACTATAAAATCAGTATCAATCGATGAAACTACGTTTACTAAGAATTAAGTAGGCACCAATAATATTTATTTTAATAACATATTAGAAAATCCCTTTGTCTCCCCCGTTATATCTTTCGTGACGTGACGGAATTTATTTTTCAATGTGATCTGATCTTTGCAATATGATTTTACAGAATGCTCGCGAATTCCGTTCGCATGCAAACCGATTTTCTGCGAATTCCTAGTTATCAGATTTTGACATAGATTATTTACATAGAAAATAGCGTATCGCACTTTGGGATCTCTCGCGTTATCATAGAGAATAAAACGAGCTCGTGACTTGGTTAGCAGATACCCAGCCAGCGTGCTGTTAAATAGATTATCTGGCTAGAAACGTGTACTTTTTTGTCGTGCAACATGACGTCGGTATTTTTTATAAAGTAAAGCAAAATTACAACCGATGCTTGTGAGTTGGACAAAAACAAATAATGTTGATGCTTTAACCTTTTCGGTGCTCTACGCGAGTATTTTGTTCTTGTCGTGCTCAAGACGAGTTAAATCGCATGAGCTTTTTAAATATGAAAGAGCTCAAGACGAGTTAACTCATTTACTCATTAACAATAAATTCATGCGATTTAACTCGTCCATTGTTAAATCGTTTGTTGTTGATAAACGATTGTTGATCATCTATTGTTTTTATTTGCTCGAAGAGTTACACACTCCCTCATAGTCAAAACATAATTTATGTAATAAATATAAATATAAAAATTTTACTTAATTATTTTAGAAAAAATATTCTTAATAACTGAATAATTTTAAGCAAAAGTTTTACATATACGAACCAAATTAATTTGCTTGCTTCATAATTCATGTAATAAAATCTAATGAACGTTGAATTGTTGTTCGAAACTACCAAGTAACATTATCTTAAATAATAATTCTTGTGCTACTTGCATATTTAATTTGGCACAGGAGAAACAATTCGAAGCACTTCCCGCTCGAAGCTCTCGAGAATTCTACTTTACTCGATCTCCTTGAGTAAATGTAATCGCGTCTCGCTTTCCCAGAAAACATCGATCGATTCGAAACCCTCTGTATCGATTCTGGTGGCAAACACTTGGAAATTTCTTCCTTGGTGTCCATTGGAAACTTACGCTCATGAAAGGACCACGTCGAACGAGCGATTCGTTTTCACCATGAATTATAGACTTCTCGAATCACGTCTCAGGAAACCGCAGATGAACCTGCCAACTACATCGAGTCAGAGAGCCTATTCATCTACCCTTAACCGTGGAAAGCTGATTCGTCCTGCGAAATATACAGTCTGTGTTTCCTATTATAACATACCACTTCCTTCTCACGGATATCAAAAACAGAATTTTCTTAGGCTCTCGGTATTTTGTTGGACTGAAAGAACCGTTGTTTTTGAAAGCAACGGAAGGTTAATCAATCTGGGTACTTATCAAGGTTAAATTAAACGTGTATGCTGTTTTTAAGAATTGGAAGAATTCTAATTAAGTGGCTATCGAAAGAATTTTAATTAAATGGAGAATTTGTATGTTGATCGATTGTGTCGAGCTAAAGAACAGAATTTATTAAATAGGATTATTTTATCTAATTCAAGAGAACAACATTTCAGAAAACACGTATTTCGTACTTTGATCTGTAGTTTAAATACACAAATTGTCGTGAAAATTGACTACCATTTTGCAATAAAAATATAGTAATGTTAATACATAATTTATAAAAATGATTCGAGGGCTCGTTAGATCCATCCAGAAAATAATTTGCGAAACACAAATATTACAGAAATGTCATATTCCCGGTCATTATTTGAACAATTATTGTTAATAATTAATTTAACTAATGTCAGAAATTAATTTTTAGTTATTCCAGCTAACAGATATAACGATATATAAAAATTTCTCACGGTTAATGTCTCGAATGAATACTTACAGTGGGTGTAGAATGTATTCGTACACCGATCAATTTCCCCAAAAAACTTTTGTGTGATTTTTTATAATCAATGATATTTTACATATTCTCGGAAGTCTCTAAGGTAGATATAGTCCAAACAACATTTACTAGTCAATATAATTTGTGATGTTAACAAAAAAATGCGTAAAGTGGGTAAAAGTATAGAAGCAATAAGTATTTATACGACTCTTATGACGAACCATTTAAAGTAGAGCTTGTAATGTAAACACATTAGTTTATTGCTCCGTACGAATTAGAAAACATCAAATTTCCTGTAAAGTACTTTTCAAAAAAGGCTCTAATAGAAGAATGGTAGAAGATCCCACTTTGAATAACTAATAATTTAGTTAATTTAATGCTTAGAAAAGTAACAATAATTATAAAATCAAAAGAAAATCCTACGAAGGAGGTATCATATATTTATAAATTCATGTAAATTTCTTTTTTTTTTAACGATGTTTTAAAAACTAAACAGTTGTGCGAGTACTTATTGCTTCAATATTTCTATCGATTAATTGTTTTTTTCTTGTTTATTTCTCAACTTACATAAATAGCTATTTTTTTTTACTCTATCTATTCTAGAGATTTCCGAGAATATGTAGAATGTCATTGTTTATAAAAAATAAGTTAATAAATTACAATTTTACATAGCTTTTCTAGAAATTGATCAGTCTACGAATACTTTTTACACTCACTGTATTCTGAACCGTAATTGTTATTAATGTTTAATCGAACACTGAATAATACTGTATGTAACATAAATGTTTAATTATGTCAGAGATATTAAGTTTTGATTGTTCCAATCAATAAATTTCACGTGTGTCCATCTTGTTTGATTTCAGCCGGTGGGATTCGTGACTTTTCACACGAGGGCCGGTGCGGAGGCGGCGAAACAGGACCTGCAGGTAATAGCCCCTTTCTCGAAAGAGAAAATATCGGGCTCCTCGATTCGACGAGAGCTCCTGAGGGCTCCCTTTACAATTAGACATATTATATACAGGGTGTCCCAAAAATGTTGGAGTCCCTTTAAAGTGGTGGTTCGAGAGGTG